TAAAACAATCTTTATTCTCCTCAGTATTTTATCCCTTCAATTGTAAATTAATAATATGAATATTTTAAAAATTATAATTATTGGCATAATGGTTCTGACATTCATTAAAATATTATCTGCTTTTATTGCGACTCTGTAGAAGACCAGTCACATCTGCCACTTGAAAGGATCAGTTAAGCTCACACTATCTGCTGTCAAATGTTTGTCCTCCAATAAGTTAGAATATATCTTTCAGATGTCTGTGTTGAATAAAGATTGTTTTAATGACTTTTAAAAACACATTGCACATGTAAATAATATGTATTACAAATTCATTTCTCATGTCTGATATTAACGTTTAAAAGTAAAACAACAGATTTACATGGGTTAAAATATTTTTATTCTATAAGGTAAATACTGAAATTCAGACAGGTTAATGGTTTTCCATATAACACAAGAATCCTTAAAGATAGACCATAACCATTTAGTCTCCTACTTTAACATCTACATGTTTTAACTAATTTAAATTATATACTGTTAGTTTTCCACACCGAAATGAATACATTTGTACATTGATGTTTGTCTAGTGTGTGCTTTTAGTGCACGTTTAACTGATCAGAGCTTTTCTTCCATCCTCATTATTTTGATATGTTAGTTTGATGCTTTCTTTTGTTACAAAAGAGGAAGCCATTTGTGCCAGTATACACAGAAATGGTTGGCTTAAATTGTATTCTGAGTTCTTATAAAATAAACTTCTGGAGTTTTTTCAGGGCCTTATTTTGAAGGAACAGTGTCTTGGAAGAGAATGGAACTTGCCGGTTGTAGGTCATACCAAACCCAAGAAATGAGAAATTAGTGTAAAGAATGATCAGTGAAGATCAATTAAATAGCAATTTAATCTGATTCTGTTTTATGTGTTTACCTTAATCACTGCAATTTTCTTTGCCTCTCCTTAAAGTATCAGTGAAATTTATTATTCATGATGAGTATAGATTAGAAGAATTTGAGGAATGACATTGAATGTCCTGTAATATTTGGGGAGTTTGAAACCAAATAGAACAACTTCTAGAGATAAAATAGTGAGATGTAATTGATACATGATATAAGAATTCGATTTTTTAAATAAAGCAACATGCAGTTTGCATATCCCTACTGTCTTTTGGCACAGTATCAGGAAATACTAAGTGTGTAGGATTTCACTGGAGATCACATTGGCTTCAGTGATGTAATATGCAGAGCTTAAGTTCATAGAACCAATGAACCAGAGGAAAACAGTGCTATTAAATCCCCAGTGGATTTCTTGCTTCCTTTTGAATTCTCATATTGAAAAATACTTTTCAATCTGTTTTGCCCTGGAAGAATCCTGGAAATTGAAGAGTGTATTTGACAAATAAACCAAATTGTGGCAAAGTCTTGCTGAGAGAATTATTGCTAATATTTTTAAATCTTTCATTTACTATTTTTATTTTATGTATATGTGTGTTCCCTGCAGGTATGTACATTCACCATGTTGTGCAATGCCTGCAGAGAATAAAAGAGGGCATTGGTCCCCTGGACCTAGAGTTACGGACAGTTGTTAGCTGCCATGCCAGTGCTGGGATTTGAACACAGGTCCTCTGCAAGACTAGCCACTGTTTTTAGCCACGAGCCATCTTTCCAGACCCAATGTTTAATGTATTTCATGAGACAAATGACAAAGGAAGAAACTGAGCTGAGATTTGTCATTTGCGGCCATATCTCAATTTAAGTATCTTCCAGGATAACTGTGGTAACTTGTACTAATTTTTCTACTTTCCAGTGAGTATTAGGGTACATAAACATGTATGTAAGTAAAATTTTAATGCAATTAATGGGGTTTGGGTATACAGTATGGCCAAATTCACAATTTATGCTTTGAAAGGACCACTAGATTGGACGAGTCAATGGATCTAGTATTGATGTGGCTAATGTTTTACTCAGTGAGCTCTACATCCATAAATGAGTTTAACTTTATGAAAAT